GCCAAATTAGAGTCATCCAGCAGTCAGCAGAAGTAGCCTGCAGCAGAGGTGAGCTGCTATGTGTTTGCCCCGGTTCGAGCGAACCAGCAGCTAATTTTATCATTTTTAATTACCAGTTCAGCGAACCAGTAAATACCAACCCTGGATGGCCCTGCCCACCCCACTCCTCCCAGGAGTCCCACTCGGCCTGTTTTGTATGCCAGGTAAGTACAGGGCTCATGTGGAGGCTTGGGCAGAGCAAAAGATGAGCCTCTGGAGCCTGGGGAATGCGAAAAATGGGCTTCCCGCCATGGTGCAGGAGGCCAACTAGGCCATGCCCAGCCAGCAACTGGTCAGAGAACCAGTTGCTGAATTTTTTTAAAATTAATTTTTATTAATTTTCAATAAACAAACATACACAAACAAAACACAAAACATAAAAACATAAAACTTCTTTTTGGAAAGCGCCTTAGTCCCGGGTTACATCTTTTTATACAGACATAAATCAAATTCATGCTCACATTATATACCATTTCATATCTTATTTATCATTCTACATTTTCTATATAGCTTCTCCCCTCTTTTTACTCTCTTAATTCTATCTTATTTATTTCATCTCAGTTTAAATCATTATCCTTCTATCATTTGTCTGTTCTATTTCAATTATCTATTATCTTTTCTCATTAACACAAAATTTCTCCTGTAATCACTGATTGAAGTATGACGCCTTTATATCTTTCCCCTAAATTTAACACTTAAAATAATATATAGTTTCCATTCTGATTCTGCTTAGTACATTTTAAAGCTACATACTATGTTTTAAAATAGGAAAATGATAAGTTTATAATATAATTAAAACAATAATCCATAGCAAATTAAACTCTATCATTAAATCTTAAGCATTTTACACATTCCTTTTAATATTTTATCCCATTTTATAATAATATAATGTTCCAGTTTTCTAACATTATTTCAAATACAAATACAACAATACAGTCTTATGTACTTTTGCAGAATCTCTTTTAAAATTATATTTTTACCCATTATCTCTGAATAAATCCTGTTTCTTTACATCTTGTTTCAAACCTTTGTAACTTCTCTTCCTTTTTTCCTCTCCTTTCTTCTCCAGTCTAGCCTTTTTACCCCCCCCATCTCTTGATCTCCACCCTCTTAATCTCCACCCTCTTCTGTATTCCTCTTTTCTGTTGCTTTCTGACATTGTATCGATTTTTCACCTTATTTTTCCCTTTTTTGGTTGTTTTTTTAAGTCTTAAATTCTCCATTCTCTTTCCCCTCTTTCCCTTTTCTTCCCCAACTAAAGTTGTTTGTTCATTAAAGATGACTTCTTCTTCATCCCAGCCTTCTTGTTCTTGTAATTGCTGATAGGTAGAAATCGCCATTTCTAAAAAATGAAAAACAGATCCAGAAGAGCCCTTCCCTTCTTGTTCCTCTTCTTTTAGCTTTTTGAATTCCATTTTCAGTTCATCAACAAGTAATGCCATAGTGAAAAAGTTTTTAAAACAACCCAAAAGTTTTTAGTCTTTCAAATAATAATTTCCAAAGGTCCCAAAGTCACCAAGCAGTCCAAATACACACAGTCTGTTTCATTAAGCACTTTCTTCTTTTTATACTTTCTCTTCCTGGGGTACAATTCAATTGTAAAGTTCCAAAATGTATCTTTTAGAAGTCTTGTTACAATTTAACTCTAGTCTTATAAGTTCCAAGCAGCCTCCTCCAGCAAAAATCTTAATGTTAATTCTTTTCCTCTCCCTTCCCACTTATAGCAAAGAGTTAAAAAAAAATTTCTTTTTCAATGTTCAGAAATCTTTAATGTCCCCTTGGCTTTAACTTTCAAGTTTAATTACCTGCTGGTGCCAGAACGGGTTTTTCCAACTTCCTCCTGCATAGGTATTTTGTCATTTTTCCAGTTCTTAGCAAATACAATTCTAGCTGTTGTTAAAACATTTACAATCAAATATTTCAATTCTTTATTGTATATGTCTGGTATGACTCCCAATAAAAAGATCTCTGGTTTAAAGTCTATATGTTGTTTTATCATTTTTTCCAACCATGTGTGGATTTTAGTCCAATATTTCTTTGCGTCCGAACACGTCCACCACATATGGTAATATGAACCAGGTACCTGATGACATTTCCAGCATTTATCTGATTTATTCTTAAACATTCTCACAAGTCTAGTTGCAGTTTTTCCCATTTTATCAAATCTGTCGCAATCTGCTGTTTGAGTTAGTTATCTTAGTTAACATAGTTATCTTCCTTCAGTGTACTACATCTAGGTGTAATTTGTATCCCTAAATATTTAACCTTGTTTGTGACCTGTATTTTTTAAATTTCTTCCAACTCTTTCTTCTTGCTAACATATTCTTTGTTAATATCTTTGTTTTGTCTTTAATTATTCTCAAACCTGCTACTTTTCCATATTCTTCTATTTTTTCTATTAATTTGGGTGCTGTTTCCAATGGGTCTTCTAATATAAATACCAGGTCGTCTGCAAAAGCTTGCAATTTATATTCCTCCTTTTTAATTTTCATTCCTTTTATTTCTCTTTCTTCTCTAATATTCCTGTTCAACACTTCCAATATTAACACAAACAGCAGAGGCGACAATGGATAGTCTTGCCTTGTCCCTTTTCTTATATCTATGGATTCTGTTAATTCTCCATTCACCATCAACTTTGCAGTTTGTTCATGGTATATTGTTTCAATGGCTTGGATAAATTTTTTACCAAAGCCCATTTGTATCAATTGCAGTAAAATAAATCGCTAACTCACATCGTCAAAGGCTTTTTGTGCATCTAGAAATATCAAGGCCATTTGCTTCTCAGGGTGTGCTTCATAATATTCCAGAATATCCAAAATAATTCTCACACTGTCTTTGATTTGTCTCTTTGGCAGAAATCCATTTTGATCAGTATGAATAAAATTATTTAAGTATCTTTTTAGTCTTTCTGCCAAAATTGAAGCAAAGATTTTATAGTCTGAGTTCAATAGAGATATAGGTCTATAATTTTTAACTTGCTGCATGTCTGGACCTTCCTTCTGTATAAGTGTCATGTATGCTTCTGACCATGTTTTTGGTATTCTTTTCTTCAACATAACTTCATTCATAACTTCTAAAAGATGAAGATTCAGTATTTCCTGAAAAGTCTTGTAAAATTCCGCTTGCAAACCATCTGAATCTGGTGCTTTCCCAACATTCTGTTTTTTTAAGGCTCCTGTTAATTCCACCATTTTTATATTTCCTTCTAACATTGTTTCAATATTTTTAGGTATCTGAGGTAGGTTCGCTTTCTGTAGATATTGCTTAGTTTTTTCTTCTTGAATATTCTCTTGAAAGTATAGTTTTCCATAGTAGTCTTGTATATATTTTTTCTTCTCCTCATTTCCATAGCAAACCTCTCCTTCCTTATTTATTAATTGACTAATCCTTCTTGCTTCTCTTTCCTTTCTCAGTTTATAAGCTAGCCATCTGCCTGGTTTGTTTGCATCTTCAAAGTAATTCCGTTTGGCAAGCAAATTTTATGGGACAGACTGAGCTAGCCAATGGCAGATAGATAGATTTCTGAATGAATCTGTGATTCAGTGAACAACTCAATCTGCCTACCTGCTTTGCCTGATTGTGGGTAAAAGTTGCTCTTTTTTAAAAATAAAAAAATCAATATTTACATGCATGGTGTGTTGCGAGTTAATTTTGTGAGTTTGCTTGCAAGCAAACTTTATGTGACAGACTGAGCTAGCCAATGGCAGATAGCTAGATCTCTGAATGAATCTGTGATTCTGTGAGCAACTCCATCTGCCTGCCTGCTTTGCTTGATTTTGGGTAAAAGTTGCTCTTTTTTATAAAAAATTCAATATTAATATAAATATTTATAATATTTACATACAAGCCATGCCCAGCCAGTTACATGAACACTAAGCCACACCCACAAATTAGGCCACACCCACAGAACCAGTTAGTGGTCCCTGGGATCTAAAATTATGAGTTTGGTGGTCCCTGAGGTCCAAAAGGTTGGCGACCCCTGGACTAGAAGAACTCCAAGGACCCTTCCAACTCTGTTATTCTATTATCTACAGAAAAACCGACATCTGCCAGAATGTGGAGGAACACCCCCCCCCCCCCCGATGGGCTGTACCGGGAACTGTTTAGCATGGCAGGCAGAGGGAGGCATTGCTGAAAGCAATGTATGTGGAATTATTCTAACACATCAGCTAACATGGATGTATTTTAACTTTTGCCTGGGGGGTGCTTTATGTTCATTTATTGGACTGACTGTTTGAGCATCTGGCTATTTGTGTTATGGACTAATTGGCCATTGCCTGGGGATTAATCTGGGCTTGCTCATGGCTGCCTTTAGTTGGGACAGTTATAAAGCTGGGTGAAGAGAACAGCTGAGGGAAGGCAAATAAAACCCTCCATAAACCACACAGATGGGTGAGTGAGTGGGACATCCCCATTAACCCTCAGACCAAACTCCATCTGTATACAGTTGCTCTGTTTTATCTAGGCTCAACATCCAATTTCACCCTGACTCTCAAGTAAAGCTGGTCTGTGAACTAACAACAAGAGACCCAACATAATTTCCCCTTTCTGATGTGCAAAAAATAAATAAATCTAGTGCTAAATGTGGAGGATAATTGCTTTTCCTTGCAATTATCAGAAGAGCAATAATTCTTAATGTATCCCCTGTAGATTTCTCACAAATCTTCAAAGACAAAAGCTGTTTTAAACAATATGCTCTTAGTTCTTAAAATGGGAGCAGGACATGTAATCTTAAGCATGTCTTGCAAATAGCTAATTCCTGGGTTTGGCCAGACTCACCTGCCCTCTTTGGTCACAGCCCAAACCGAGATAAGATGGTGGATATAAATTTGTCCTTAAGGCCATCAAGGTGGCACAGTCAGTTTCTATTGTGCTAAAGCTCTGGTGAGATTTTAAGTGCTACCTGCAATTCAGCTTCTGCACAAACCTTGATTTCTGATCTAGGAGGGAAGGTGACAAGAATGGCTGGGCTGCTTCTCTTGCTGCTGCTCTTCAGGCTCCTTCCCTCACCTGCTGCTAAGAGGATTCCGGCTGAATATGTGTTGACAACCCCTTTCCAGATTCAGGAAAAATTGAACTATTACAGGTCTGGTGAACTCATTATTGGAGGGAATTTTCTCCTGACATCCATGGTTTCATCCAACATCCCAGACTTTCAAAAACAGCCAACTTTGCGTCATCTTAAACTTGTGTAAGTTTGAATAGAATAGAATAGAATAGAATAGAATAGAATAGAATAGAATAGAATAGAATAGAATAGAATAGAATAGAATAGAATTCTTTATTGGCCAAATGTGACTGGACACACAAGGAATTTGTCTTTGGTGCAAATGCTCTCAGTATACATAAAAGAAAAGATACATTCATAAAGAGTCAAGAATCATCAGGTACTTAATGATAGTCAAAGGGTAGCATAGCATAGCATAGCATAGCATAGCATAGCATAGCATAGAATATAATTCTTTATTGGCCAAGTGTGATTAGACACACAGGAATTTGTCTTTGGTGCAGAAGCTCTCAGTGTACATAAAAGAAAAGATACATTCGTCCATAGTCAAGAATCATACTGTAAGGTACAACACAATAATAGTCATAGGGTACAATAAGTAATCAAATCATACTAGGAAACAGTCAATAAAAATCATTAGGAGACAAGCAACAAAGTTATAGTCATACAGTCATAAGTGGGAAGAGATGGATGGAAGGAAGGAAGGGAAGATTGATAGTAACAGTAATGCAGATTTAGTAAATAGTTGGACAGTGTTGAGGGAATTATTTTTTTAGCAGAGTGATGGCGTTTGGGAAAAACTGTCCTTGGGTCTAGTTGTTCTGATAGAGAAAAGATACAGATACCTGTTTGCTTTGTTTTGGATTCAGGACCAACTCTCAGAAACACTTGTTCTGTTCATGTATCTAATGTCCTCCATCAATTTATTTTGTCATGCTTATATAGCATATATTGGAGGTGGTGACCCTCAAGAGCTGTATGCAATGAAATTTTATTTTAATGTATGCCTATTAGTGTACATTTAAAGTGATAATAAAGTTATCCGAAGTTCTAATGTCCTGGAGGCTTTTAAGAAGAAACAGGTCATTCACTTGTCTGGAATGGTGTAGGTCTCTTGTTTGCTGCAGGGGGTTGGACTAGATGACTTCAAGATCCCTCCCAACTCTGTTATTCTGTTAGTTGGAAGGTACATTGGAGGTCTTCAAATCCAACCTGCTGCTTAGATAGGAAACACTACACCATTTCAGACAAATGGTTGTCCAATTTCTTCTTAAAAACTTCCAGTATTGGAGTCCCTACAATTTCTGGAGGTAAGTTCTTTTACAGATTCATTGTTCTAACTTCAGAAATTCCTCCTTAGTACTAGGTTGCTTCTTTTCTGGATTAGTTTTGGAATCACTCATGAATAATGGCTTTCAGGAAATATATGCTGTGACTCCAGTTTGTGCTCAACAATGGTTACCAGATCAGAAGACGCTGTTCCAAGAGAGAACTAAATTGGTTAGGATGTTAAGAGAAGCAATTGGAAAGGATGTATCATAATAGAACTAGAAGGATATTGAAGGTCTTCAAGTCCAGCCTACTCAAGCAGGAAACCATATACTGTTTCCGATAAGTAACTGTCCAGTCTTTTCTTAAAAACATCCAGTGATGGAGCACCCACGATTTCCAGTGGTAAGCTGTTCCACTGGTTAATTTTCCTCACTGTTAGGAAATAACTTCTTATTCCAAATTGATTCTCTCCCATTGTTTCCTGTCCTGCTATCTGGTAATTTGGAGAATAGATTGACCCCCTCTTCTTTGAGGCAGCCCCTCAAATCCTGGAATACTGCTAACATGTCACCCCTACTCTTTCTTACAGACACCGGAGCAAACTGAAGAAATGAGGAACGACAGAGGGGTATAAAATGGTCTCTGATATGGACAGATTTCTCTTTTTTTTCATTTTTCATAAAGCCATCCAAGCTTCATCAAGGACCTTTGTTTAGAAATTAGGCAAATCTAATACCACTCTATAAAGCCTAAGTAAGACCACACCTAGAGTACTGCATCCAGTTTTGCTCACAACATTATAAAAAGATGTTAAGACTCTAGAAAAAGTGCAGAGAAGAGCAACCAGAATGATTAGGGGACTGGAAACTAAAACATATTAAGAATGGTTACAGGAACTAGGCTTCGCTAGTTTAGTGAAGAGAAGGACTAGGGGAGACATGATAGCAGTGTTTCAATATTTGAGGGGCTGCCACAGAGAGGAGGAAGGGGTCAAGCTATTTTCTAAGGCAACCAAAGGCCAGACAAAGAATAATGGATGGAAACTGAACAAGGAGAGATTTAACCTGGAAATAAGGAGAAACTTTCTGACAGTGAGAACAATCAACTAATTGAACAGCTTGCCTTCAGAAGTTGTGGGAGCTTCATCCCTTGAGACTTTCAAGAAGAGATTGGATTTCCATTTGTCAGAAATGGTGTAGGGTCTCCTGCTTGGATAAGGGCTTGGATTAAATGACCGACAAGGTCCCTTCCAACTCTGTTAACCTGTTAAATCCAATCAATTGATTGAATGAATGAATGCATTCTTTATTGGCCAAGTGTGATTAGACACGCAAGGAATTTGTCTTGGTGCATATACTCTCAGTGTACATAAAAAGGTACATTTATCAAATATAATAAGGTACAACATTTAATATAGTCATAGGGTACAAATAAGCAATCAAATCGTAGTAGGAAACAGTCAATATAAATTGTAAGGCTTCCTGCTCCACAGTACGTTAAAAAAGGCAATCTCTAGTAGTACACACATTTTCTTGTAACATTTTCTCACATTTTTTTCCATTCTAGATTTATAGCCAAGAACTACCAGCACTTCATGGCCTTAGTCTTTGCAGTCACAGAGATCAACAAGAGTTTGGTTCTGCTGCCCAACATCACCCTTGGATTCAATATCTATAGCAATTTCCAAACTGAGATGTCAATTTCCTCAAACAGCCTCTCCCTGCTCTCCACACGAGGCCGAATGGTTCCTAGTTATAAATGTGACAGGAAGGACACTTTGCTCTCTGTCGTTGGAGGTCTCAACTCCAAATCTTCTCGGCTGATGGCCTCCATCTTCAGCATCTTTAAGGTCCCAAAGGTAAGGAGGCTTCAATGGATGCAGCATGGAGTAGACAAACAACAGAAACAAACCCAGAAGCCAAAAATAATGGGAGGGGGGGAAATAGAAGGAGGATGTGCCTCAGAGAATCTATACTAGAGTTGAATTCATGTTTGTATTTTATTTGTCAAGACATATTTTGATTTAATCTCAAAAGATATTGATATGTTCTTGAAGCTTTGCCCTTGCCAACAGGAATTCTTTCCTAACTTATTTTCCATAAAAGCAAAACATTTTTAATGAATTTGATTCTCTCGGGGCAATTGATTTGAATTTGTTCCTTTGACTTCTGTCATGTCACAACTAGGCAAAATATGTAATTGGTGGTTCTTCCTTAGAAGGGAACGATCTTAAGATCACAAAGTCACTGAACGTGATTCATGGGGCAAGACAGGGCACATTGAATTCCCCTTAAATCTCCATAAAACTTTATCAAGAGTCCGTCTCTCTCCAGCTTGGTGTTGACTTTAAGTTCTCTCATGAAGACAGCATAGTTTATCCTTCCTTCTTCCGAGTTAACCCTAGTGAGTTTCCTCAGTATGTGGGTTTAGTCCATCTGCTCCTGCATTTCCAGTGGAACTGGGTTGGACTTCTGGCCCCTGAAGATGACAATGGAGAACATTTCATCTCATCTCTGATGCCATTGCTCAAGGAGAAGGAGATCTGCCTGGCCTTCTCTGAAAAGTTGAAGTCAGATGTCTTTGCTACTACAGAGTCAAAATTGCTTCATGTTTTCAAGATGTGGTCTAAAGCTGAAGTTATTATTCTGTTTGGAGATTCCAGTAGCAGTGCAAATGTACAGGTAGTTGTGTATGGTCATGAAGTAATGAGAAACAAACCATTTCAGAAAGTTTGGATCCTGACTTCCCATTGGAAACTTAATGTGGTGGGATCTAAAAACATATTGCAATTTATAAAGCCCTTCCATGGGGCTTTGCATTTTAGGCATCACATGGGAGATGTCTCAGATTTCAACCATTTCCTCCTGTCTTTAAATCCTTGGAACCCACAAGGGGATCTTTTTCTCTCTCCATGGTGGGAAAGGGTCTTTGGCTGCATGATTCACAAACCAGGATTGAGCCCTAAAACGGGGAAAAAAGCATGCACAGGAAAGGAGAATTTAGAGAACGTCCCGACTTACATCTTTGAGAAACGCATGACAAGTGAAAGTTACAATATCTACAATGCCATTTATGCTGTGGCACATGCATTTCATGCAATGTATGGATCAATAACCCAACCAATAATGAAGAGGGTTGGAAAGAAGATTGCAAATGTCCAGTCATGGCAGGTAATTTCTATGACTTTTTATCCAGTCTACGGATCCTTAGAGAGGAAGCTTTCCATACATCTGTTCTGTCCTACACCTCCCCCAAAAGCACTGAATCAATTCTGAGTCCCAGCAAAAAAACTCTTTTTTTTACATTAATGTGAATTTATTTCATTCACAGTCAGCCAACAGATTGGCAAACAGTTTTGCGAAGGTATACTAATGAGCTCAGACCTTTATCAATCCTGGAACACTGCATAGTAAATAGTTCCACACTCAGTGCTGGTAGGGAAGGGCTGGGTTATTCAGACAAATATCACGAGGTTGGAACACAGAAGCAAATGAATGAGCGAGTTGTTTCCTGCAAAAGCCCCCTCCCGTTTTGCTTCTCTTTAATCCTAATGGGAGGGGCCATTCATTTGTCTGTCTGTGGCCTTACTCCCACGACAACCCTGAGTTCTTAATTGTGCCTTTCTTTTAGCAGCTCTGCACATGCGCAGGCTGGGAAATGGTTCCAGAAGCTCCCCTGCCTCACTGCTGTCTGAGCCCAAAGGCAGCTGATGATTGCCAGCCTACCCTGGTCCCATCTCTGCCACTGATGCAGAGCCCTTATCTGAGGCTTCCTCAGCCTCCAGGAATGGCCTGGCTTCCTCCCCAACTTCTTCACTACTGTCTGACTCTGCCGCCAGCTCTGCCAGCCACTGATGGGCCACAACAACATCCATTTCTTGAATTACTGATTAAATATCTGTATTGTGAGAAGGCAGGTTGCCCATAAAATGGCCAACAGCTCTTTAAGATCTCTCCCTAATCAGCACAGCAACTGGTGGCTATAAAACTGAGCAGAGAGGCAGCTAAGGATGAGGTATTGTGATTGGTGTGGGGATTGTCTGGGGAAATAAACCAGCCTGAAGCAGTCTAAAGTGGGTAGAAAAAATGCTGTTCTTCAGCAGTAGGACTTACAAGAAGTAATAGTTTGAGGAACAGTTAAGGAGGTGTAGAAGAAGTGGGAAAGAATGGAGTACTGAACAGTGAGTACTCTCTCTTGAGTGCTTGTATGGATGCCAAGGGACTTGTGTGGTTGTGTTGGCTCTTTTGGGTTTAACCCACTCATTTGGGTATATGTAACAGAACCTTTGACAAAATGGTGGCAGAGTGGGGTATCCAAAAAGTCAGCATATCCAAAAAGTTAGGGGCATTCCAAAAGTTGGGATATACAAAAAGAGGAGAATTGCATAAAAAATATGGGATATCTAACACAGAACAGCATCCACATAAGTGGAGACAACTTACACTGAAGAAATGTAGCCCAGTTCCAAATAGGCCATGGCCCAGTAGTGGGCTGTGACTTGGGGGTTGGAGACCCCTGGCCCAGAGCCAGAAGACAATCTAAGTGACTTTGTGCAAGATATTTCAGGGGAGTCTTTTTGGGCACATTTCCAGTTTCCTCAGTGTGTAGCCTAAGTCCAACCTCAAAAAGACACTCAGAATAACAGAGTTGGAAGGGACTTTAAAGGTCTTCTAGCCCAATCTCCCTACTTGAGAAGGAGACCCTATGCCCTTCCAGGTAAATGGCAGTCCAATCTCTTCTTTAAAAACCTCCAGTGTTGAAGCACCCACAAGTTCTGGAGGCAAACTTCCACTGATTAATTTTCAGTAACTGTCAGGAAGTTTTTCTTTAGTTCTTGGTTGGATTTCTCCTTGATAAGTTTCCATCTATTACTTATTGTAACTCGATTAAACTTAAATGGTTTTTGTATCTTTGGCTTAGCATCTTGGGTGACCGAACCACATTTGTTCACTTTGCCATTTGTAGTGCTGCTCTTTTGATTGTATCAAAACAACTTCAATACACACAGGAAGAATTGAATTGCTCCACTAGGTTCCTGGTCTGAAATTCATCAGACCAGGGGTGAGCTTTAAATAATTTAATGACTGGTTCTATGCCCAGTTGCTGGGTGGGCATGGCCATGGTGGGTGTGGCCTAGTCAGCCTCCTGCACCACACTGGAAGAAAAAACGGGCCACAGGGGGCCCATTTTCACCATCCCCGGGCTCCGGATGCTCCCTGGAGGCCAGAAATGGGCCTGTTTCAGGCATTTAGGACCCTCCAGGAGGCCCATTTTTGCCCCCTCTGAGCCTCCACACAGTCCCTGCATTTACCTGTGATCCAAAACAGGCAACATAGGGACTCCTGGGCAGGGCGGGGTGGGTGGGGCAAGCCAGTTGTTGGAACTACTGGTTTGCTGAACTGGTATGAACTGGTTGAAGTGCACCCCTGCATCAGATGTTTATCAGACAAAGGCTAAACATTAGACCTCTCTGGACAGTGAAATGACAAACCTTCCTTTCACATGCCCTCCCCCACTCCGCATACTCTCTGGTCAGACCTGATTGTCAGATAGGGAAAGTCAGTAGAATTGGAACCAATTCTATCACTGTTCTGATAGAAATTATTTAATCATTCCCCAAGTCCTTGATCCAAAGTAAACATTTAAAAATGTACATCCCAGGAATACAACCACATAATACATTTTGTAGTATGCATTACAATTTTTGTGTTTAGGTATAAGTAAAAGTGGATTTGAAGAAACCATCATACGAATGCATAAATAGACAATTTTTTACTGTTGGGGAAAAAGTCAAATATTTGTTGTTAGTCCTGATTACTCAAATCTCTACCAAGGCAACTCTTGTGTCTTATACATATACATATCTCCTAATATGATGGCCATCACAGAATGATAGAAGCCATGATGTCCTTCGGCAAACTATTCCAATTTCTGTAGAACTCTTTTCTTTCAGATTCTTGCCTATTTGAAGAATGTCCAGTTCAACAACAGTGTTGGAAATGAAGTCTCCTTCTCAGAAAATGGATTGGGATCAGCTCAATATGATCTTCTCAACTGGATTCTCTGCCCCAATCAATCTTTTTCCCCCATAAAAGTTGGGCAAATCCATCCCAGGGCTCCCTCAGGCCAGGATTTCACCATTAACAAAGATGCAATCATCTGGGCCACAAAGGTGAGCTAGAAGGAAATGTAATTTCATGGAACTATTCATTTTCTCCTGGGGTTGCAGAACATCCTACCAACTGAACAACAGGTCTATTGAATCAGAAAACATGGCTGCTATTTGGTGAATAAAAACCGCTTTGCATGTAGCACATTTGCATTCTGATTTGTGTCAATCCACAAACGGTTGGGATTAGGAAGAACTTCTGCTTGAACCCCAAAATGCAATCAGAGGCAGAAACAGTATTTCTAGGGACTGTTCTGTTCAAATAGATCATCATATTTTTTTTGCTTTCCTTTACATGTGGAGGTCCCAGTTCCAATCTCCAGCATCCATTTTGTGGATTAGGAATGGCACTGGCTAGAGTCTTGCATGAGCTGTTCTTGGTTTCTGGTAAACCCTGGTGAAACCATCTTCTTTTGGAGACATACTGAAGATGGAAATAGGATTCTGGAGAGCAATAAATAAAGCCTATCCATTGCTTAGTCATCTTAAGCATTTCTGCTTTCTCTTTAAGGAAGTGCCCTTTGCCAGGTGTGGCAGGAAGAGGTGCCATGCAGGAGAGAGGAGAAATGTTCCAGAGGGAGAACAGGTTTGCTGCTACCAATGTAACCCTTGTCCAGAAGGCACCATTTCTAATCAGACAGGTAGAGAAGACTTCAAAAGTAGATCTTTCAGGATTAAGCCACCTATTCAATTGACCAAAATATTTATTGTTGTTCTTGTCATTTTTGGCAAGATTGACATGGTTCCAAGCATTCATGTTTTTCAGCAGAACCTTTCAGTTTATTTATTTAAACTCTCCTACCTCCATGAATAATGTAGTCAGACACAAGGCAGCTGACACCAACAAATTTAGCTTGTGCATTGAGTACCAAACAAATGATGAGTACCAGGACAACATTTTTGCATCAAAATGTGTTGAGTACCAAATTCAATGAGTTTCAAACCAGTTGAGTACCAAGATACCACTGTAGCAGGCTTCCTGGAGGAAAGATCTAAGAGACTTCTGGGGGTTCCAGTATAAACATCACTATTACAGTTTACAGTTGACAATCTCTCATACTGAAAGCCACAGTAATTATGAAAATTCCTTGTGACTGGAGAGGGTATTTTTCCCTCTACAGCAAACTGACCAGAACAGCTCAAATTGAACAGATAATTATCTCTAGCAAGGTCATCATGAAGGTTGATTTGCCTTTTGGATGCACCATAAAGTACACAGCGAGTCATTCCATCATTATATTTGTGAGTGGGCCACAGTAGAAAGGGGACATTCATGTCATCCCAGAGGGAGGGATGATACTCATGGCAGATGTGCTTGAAATACTTTAGACAAGGACTCTTGATTTCAGATTCAGCCCACTGTGATCCTTGCCCAGAAGACCAATTTCCCAAGAAGCACAAGGACCACTGCATTGCCAAGAAGACCCACTTCCTTGCCTTTGAAGAGACCCTGGGATACACTTTAGTATCTTTAGCTTTGTCTCTCTCTGTGATCACATCTGCAGTCCTGGCAACTTTCCTTCATCATCGTGACACTCCAATTGTCAAGGCCAACAATCGAGATCTCACCTACATTCTCCTGGTCTCCCTCCTGCTCTGCTTCCTCTGCTCCTTCCTTTTCATTGGTCAACCTGGGAAGCTCACTTGTCTCTTTCGACAAACTGCCTTTGCCATTGTCTTTTCCCTTGCAATGTCCTCTGTGTTGGCAAAGACTGTCATGGTGGTTCTGGCTTTCATGGCCACCAAACCAGGAAACAAGACAAGGAAACTCTTAGGAAAACCATTGACCAATTCCATTGTCATAGTTTGTCCCTTGGTTCAAGTACTTCTTTGTGCCATCTGGCTGGTAACCTCTCCCCCATTTCCCAACTTGGACTTTCATTCCATATTTGGAGAGGCCATCTTGGAATGTAATGAAGGCTCAGCTTCAATGTTTTACACTGTCCTTGCCTACCTGGGTTTTTTAGCCCTCATCAGTTTTACGGTATCATTTCTAGCTAGGAAATTACCTGACAGCTTTAATGAAGCCAAGTTCATCACTTTCAGTATGCTGGTCTTTTGCAGTGTTTGGATTACTTTCCTCCCCACCTACTTGAGCACCAAAGGGAAGTCCATGGTGGCTGTGGAGATCTTCTCCATCTTGGCTTCTGGAGCTGCTCTCTTGGTTTGCATTTTTTCCCCCAAATGCTACATTATCCTATTGAGACCCAACCTTAATTGCAGAGAAAATATCATAAGAAATAAGAATTTCTAATTCATTCATGGATAGACCACATTTATATTTATTATTCAGGACTCTTTATAATGTAATAAGATTTTAGTATATGTGGTTTTATATGTAGTTTTACATGTAATGAGATGTATCTTTTAAAGCCTTCTTGGGCTTTGTTGCTATTATCATTAAAAAAATCTTGATACTCTTGTCATGTGAGGCAGAAAAAAATCTAATTGGATTTTTAAGAGGAGCTTTAAAAACACTTGAATTTTGCAAAGGGGCATATTGTACATATGTCAGTGAGTAACTTGTGGTTGCACAAATGCCTGTGGTTCTGCATGGCAGAATCAAAGTTTTGCAGCTTCATAAAGTGGCTGGAACTTTAGAGTAGCTCATTTTTTTCAATCAAAGACCTTAGCTATCTTGAATCTGTGTGGGATCAATAGCTCTATATCCGTGAGTTATTACATGGCCCCTAAATGTAACTTGAATGTAAGCAAACTTTAATTTGCTCTGAATTCAATCTTCCTCTTTTGCAATCAGCACATCCTTAGCATATTATAAAGCAGAAGTCTATTTTGGCAAAGGATTAGAAAAAAAATATGGCGACTTCTGTAAGAGTCATTGAAAACCAAATTAGGCTAAAAGTCAAGCCCTAGGGGCAAGCAAACACATGTATTTGAGGCTCCAAAAGATAAAAGCTAGAGAAAAAAATGGGAAAAAAGGCATTTACAAACTCCTGTCCATGAGCTGTCCTGGCCATACCATCCACCAGTCTCTCCTGGCCATGGCTTCCACCAACTTTTCCTACTCCTTTTAGGAAATTGCAATTCAATTGAGAATCAATCACATTAATCCATGAATTAATGACATTGAAATCATCCTGGATCAATGCTCATTTTGCCTTGCCAGGCCTTGCTCCAGAGGGTGGTTCAGGACAGATGTTGAAACATACACACAAAGACAGCAATTATACAAATAAGTGATTTTATTTGAACACTATGAGATTTATACCGAGTGATTTGATCTAGGAGCAAAGGTGATATTTGATACAAGCAAAGGTGATATTCATAAAAATCAGAATGTAAAACAGGAAACACTTTCCCACCCCCTGTGGAAGGACATCCATTCTTTGGAAGGTTTGAGACTGAGCCTTTTCCTCCTCATCCAGATCCCAACAACATCTAGGCACTGGAGACCTTGTCAGCATCACTTGGTTGGCCTTGCATTGACATGTACAAAAGAGTAGCCTAGTCATGATAACTGATCTCCAATGGAAAATGTCCTAGTCCAGTGATGACATGTAGAATTTAAACAGGAGTGGAAAGAATGTCAAGCTTTGAAAGACCCCCAAAATTGTGTTACAGGCTCAACCTATACTGCAGTATAGCAGAGCCTATACTGTTCCATTACCGGTTCGGTGATTGTGTGCGCATGCGCGTGCACCTAACCTGAACACAGCTTCCCCCACACCAGCTGAGGCCTGCAGCGCCAATCAGCTGAGAGGATAAAGAAGAGAAAAGTGTTGGGGCAGGTGGGAGAGCCAATTCTGCACTTTTCTCTTCTTTTTCCTCTCAGCTGATTGTCAGAGGCTTTTTTTCCTCCTCTCAGCTGATCATCAGAGGCTTTTTTACTACCTGTTCAGTTGAACTGGTCCAAACCGATATCGTACCACCACTGCTGCAGGACCCAATCAGCAGGGACCAGAGGTTTTGTCTTTCGAGCTTTCAGATATGTGCTGGAGCTCATCTTCAGGATACTTCTCTCTAGCAGAGTGTGTGCTGTTCTGCCTGTGATATTTGTATGGTGCCTGTTGTACGTGGCTTTTTAGATGTTTATTGGGGTGTGTTGATGCCTGGCTATTAAGTCGTCGACTGTCACTTGCTTGTGCTACCCATCCCTCGCCTTCTAAGTACTTGATAGGCTGGTGGTTAATCAGCACACCTGTTGACTGACAAAAGGCTTGTTTCCCAGACTTCAATCACTACCCTGGCTGTTTTTGTACCTGCTCATCCAACAATCATAGTGTTGTGGCTCCGGACTTGGATTCAGCTCCTGTGGCTGATATGAGCTCAAGTGAGGAGGACATGGCAGAGAAATATGAGCCAGCATGGCTCAGTGATTGGAATGGTAATCAGGAGGAGGAGATGGACGTGACAAGAGAGGACAGACCTAATTTAGTAGAATGGTCAGGACCTTCGATCTCCTCTGGTTCAGTATCTGATCATCAGCCGGGAATGGCTGACAGAGAAGTTTTAAGAGAGTCTTCAGGTGGAGACGAGAACTTGGAGAATTGTTGGTTAGATGTCAGGAATAGACGCCACTTTAAGAGGCAAGGCCAGCTGGAATGCAGGAGATGGGCAAGTCAGTAATTAGGGAAATTAATTGTTGCCCTAATAACTATAAAAGGATCCGCCTGTGTTTGAAAATTTGTCAGGAACAAAGCGTTTAATTTACGTGGAGAAGCACGGTCAAAGCTCGGAGGCTTGTGGATTTAAGCCAGGATTAATGTGCTGTAGACTGTGAATAATAGCAGCCGTTATCTTCTGAAACTCCTCTTCATTTGTTTTGCTTTTGAGGACGGCTGCTTTCGGCGTTGCTTATTTGATTTTGAAGGTGGGACATAACATTTTTGTTCCTGACCTAACAGACCATCTTTGCAACGATGGATTCAAACCAATTGCAACAATTGGTGGAGCAGCAACAACTACAAATTAATCAATTACTTCAGAGTAACGTAACGTTACAGAATCAGGTAACTCAACTGTTGAATTATGTTACCAATTTACAAGGTACTGCTGCTGCTGCTCCCCCTGCCCCTCCTTTGAGAAAAATCCTGGTAGCTATGTCAGAAAAATTTTCTGGGCAAATGGACATGTTTTCGACATTTGTGGGTCAGTGCCAACTGTATTTTTCTGTGAGGCTTGAAGACTTCCCAACCGACCGGGCTAAGGTGGGATTTATAATTAGTTTATTAACTGGGCAGGCTGCCAAATGGGCTACTCCCTTATTAGTGCAAGATAGCCCATTATTGGACAATTTCCAGGGGTTTCTTCAACAAATGAAAGTAATGTTTGAGAACCCAATTAAATTACAAATTGTGGACAGAAAGTTAATGGACATTAATCAAGGAAAACGTTCCCTGCAAGAGTACGTTGCAGAATTCCGTTTGTTGTGCATGGACTCTAACTGGAACGAACCGGCTCATATGGCTGCATTCCAGGAAGGCTTGTCTGATGCCATCAAGGATGAGCTAGTCCATGCAGAGCGGGCTTCAACTTTGGATGCATTAATAATCCAATGTTTGCGTATTGAAGCTCGCTTACAGCAACGTGAGAGTAAACGGACCGTTGTGGAACCACCTGTATTTCCTCGCACACGCATTACACCTATGAGAGTTTTTCAACCCAAGATTCAAGCAGAGGAGCCGATGGAGATAGGCGCACTCCGCCCTCGCTTAACGGTGCGAGAACGTTCGAGAAGGTTCCAGGAAGGCTTGTGCCTTTATTGCGGGGGTCCGGGACATTTTGCAAAGGCTTGTACTCGGAGATGGATTCATAGACCTGTGCCCGAAACCACTCCTGGCCCGTCGGGAAACGGGGTGGGCCCGACCTCGGAGAAACCCTACGTCGGGCACAACCTACACCCCCATCCAAAATTGCCGAAGTAAATCCTGGTCCTCCTCGGCATTTACTGTTGGACACTCGTATATTTTTGCAGTCCCAGAAGGAGGGAATTCCCGCCGTGGCACTGGTGGATTCAGGGGCTACAACCAGTTTTATGGACTGTGCTTTTGTGAAACATTTTAGAGTTCCATTAATTTCTGTAAATCCCCCCATGAAGGTGGAAACCGTAGATGGGCATGAACTTAAGTCGGGACCCATTCGCTTTGCCACCTAGCCAGTACGCATGCTTATTGGGGATCATGAGGAGGCGATAAGTTTTTATGTCACCTCGAACCTCCATCTCCCTTTGGTGCTTGGAGTATCCTGGCTGCGTTTGCACGATCCGTTGGTGGCTTGGGCACAGAACGCCATTTCTTTTCCAAGCCTACAATGTGTGGACCACCTGAGGCATGTCTGCGTGGGCCAAAACATCGCCGCTCCTGCTGTCTCGATTCCTTTGGAACTGTCGGATTTCTCCGATGTTTTCAGCGAACAGGAGGCAGACCGATTACCACCACATCGTGTTTATGATTGTCCCGTGGACTTGATACCGGGCGCTCCATTGCCAAAGGGGAGGTTATATTCCTTGTCAGAGCCTGAGTTAGTTGCACTCCGAGAGTTTTTAGATAAAAACTTAGCTCGGGGATTTATTCGACCCTCGTCGTCCCCTCTTTCGGCGCCCGTTCTCTTTGTTAAGAAGAAGTCAGGAGAACTTCGTCTCTGTTGTGATTATAGATGCCTGAACTCTATCACCGTGAGGAATAGCTATCCCTTACCGCTCATTCCCGAATTGATGGAGCGGTTACGAGAGGCTACTATCTTCACTAAACTCGATCTGTGTGGGGCCTATAATCTGGTTCGGATGCGCAAGGGGGATGAGTGGAAGACGGCGTTTGGCACTCGTTATGGTCATTTCGAGTACACCGTCATGCCATTTGGCCTGACCAACACTCCTGCTGTATTCCAGCATTTGATGAATGATACTTTTCGGGATATGCTGGATAAGTTTGTTGTCATATATTTGGACGACATTTTGATTTATTCTAGGTCCAGAGATCAACATCTTCAGCAGGTTCGTCAAGTGCTTCAGCGTCTTCGGGAGCATAAACTCTATGCGAAACTGGAGAAGTGTTTCTTTTTTCAGTCGTCAATAGAGTTTTTAGGGCACATCATTTCTCCCGAAGACATTGCTATGGACCCAAAAAAGGTTGAGGCATTATGTAGTTGGGAAGCTCCTCATCGAGTCAAGGACGTACAACGACTTTTGGGATTCGCCAACTACTATCGGACTTTTATTCCGGACTTTGCGAAAGTAATGGACCCCATAACTCAGCTCCTTCATAAGAAGGTTCCGTTTGTGTGGGGGCCTCCGCAACAACAGGCTTTTGACATTTTAAAGAAAGCATTTGTAGCCGAACCGATATTGAGGCATTCTGATCCGAATCGTCCATTTGTGGTCGAGACAGATGCTTCTAATGTCGCTATCGGAGCAGTATTATTACAAGCTTCAAAGGATGGCGCACCTCTTTTCCCTTGCGCATACTATTCTAGGAAGCTCACAGCTTCAGAGCGCAATTACACCATCTGGGAAAAGGAGTTGTTGGCCATTAAGGCTGCTTTCGAGACTTGGAGACATCATTTAGAGGGGGCTCGGCACAAGGTAGAGGTTCGGACGGATCATCGAAACTTGGAACATTTAACCACACCTAGGAAATTGAATCAACGCCAGATTCGATGGTCGTTGTTTTTCGCTCGATTCAATTTCCCCATTACTTATGTTCCAAGTGGACAGAACCGGAGGGCAGACACGTTGTCTCGGAAGCCTGAGTATATTTGCTCCAAAGATCCTCTTCCTTTGTGAACAGTGTTACCACCTGAATCTTTGGCCGTACTGCAAGATCCGGTAGATTTGCGGGCTCGCCTACAGGAAGCACAACGTTTGGATGCGTGGACGCAGCAGAGACGTGGGGACGTTGGACCTGATTCTCCATGGTCTTTTGAAGAAGGTCTGCTCAGACATTGGGGTTTGTTATATGTGCCTACCAGACCGTTGAGAGATCTCATCATGACACAATGTCATGATAACCCCGCTGCTGGTCATTTTGGATTTCATAAAACATTGCATTTAGTCACCCGGACTTTTTGGTGGCCTCGGGTTCGCCATGATGTGTCCTCTTATGTCGCTTCTTGCATTCAGTGTAGGCAAGCGAAAGCGGTGTCGGGTGCGCCCCCTGGACTCCTTCAACCATTGCCGACTCCGGACAGACCATGGGGAACGATCTCCATGGACTTTCTTACGCACTTACCATCTTCGTCGGGATTCACGACGGTGCTTGTGGTAGTGGATATGCTGACTAAAATGGCTCATTTCATTCCCTGTCGGAAATTGCCATCGTCCCATACTACGGCCCAGCTATTTTTGCAGCATATCTTTCGTCTGCATGGACTGCCGGATAGAGTGGTTTCTGATCGTGGGGTTCAGTTTACGGCGCAATTTTGGAAACAGTTAATGGCGGCGCTACAAGTTCAAGTATGCTTAGCGTCAGCGCACCATCCGGAAACTGATGGCGGGACGGAGAAGGTGATTGGTATTCTTACCCAATATTTGAGGTGTTTCGTTAATCTGCGACAAAATGATTGGGCGAAATATCTCCCATTAGCAGAATTCGCTTTTAACAACTCGCAGCACACCTCCACTCGTGTCACGCCATTTTTTGCGAATGTGGGTTATCATCCGCGCTTCTTCCCATTAACGATGATGGATTCCCCGGTTACTGAGACCCAAGATTTTCTGGAAGAACTAGAAGCGGTCCACCATTTAGTAGTACAACAACTTAACAGGGCAAAAGACGATTATAAACGGTTCGCGGACCGATCACGTCGAGCAACGCCTCCGTTAGCTGTGGGTGATAAGGTATGGTTATCCACAAAACATCTGAGGATCAATCGCCCTATTAGGAAGCTAGACCATCATTTCATTGGTCCCTTCCCGATTGAGGTGGTTATTAACCCTGTGGCATACCGACTCACTTTGCCAAGTTCTATGCGCATTCACCCTGTTTTCCATCAATCTCTTTTGGTTCCTGATTCTCCGGAGTGTCATCTGCGTGATTCTGCTGGTACGACTCCCTCATCGATGCCCCCTGAGGAGGCTGCTGTTGAGGACACGGTGGTCAGCGTTATTGATTCGCGTTGGCTCAAGGGTCGTTTCCAGTATTTAGTCGGGAGGAGAGTAGATGACTCGGAAATTTGCTCATGGATGGATGCGTCTGTGGTTCATGCTCCAGATATGATTTCATAAACGTTTCCCTTCGAAACCGCATCCAGATCGTCAGACCCGGGGGAAGGGCCCTGCGGTGAGGGATAGTGTTGTGGCTCCGGACTTGGATTCAGCTCCTGTGGCTGATATGAGCTCAAGTGAGGAGGACATGGCAGAGAAATATGAGCCAGCATGGCTCAGTGATTGGAATGGTAATCAGGAGGAGGAGATGGATGTGACAAGAGAGGACAGACCTGATTTAGTAGAATGGTCAGGACCTTCGACCTCCTCTGGTTCAGTATCTGATCATCAGCCGGGAATGGCTGACAGAGAAGTTTTAAGAGAGTCTTCAAGTGGAGACGAGAACTTGGAGAATTGTTGGTTAGATGTCAGGAATAGACGCCGCTTTAAGAGGCAAGGCCAGCTGGAACGCAGGAGACGGGCAAGTCAGTAATTAGGGAAATTAACTGTTGCCCTAATAACTATAAAAGGATCCGCCTGAGTTTGAAAATTTGTCAGGAACAAAGCGTTTAATTTACGTGGAGAAGCAACGGTCAAAGCTCGGAGGCTTGTGGATTTAAGCCAGGATTAATGTGCTGTAGACTGTGAATAATAGCAGCCATTATCTTCTGAAACTCCTCTTCGTTTGTTTTGCTTTTGAGAACGGCTGCTTTCGGCGTTGCTTATTTGATTTTGAAGGTGGGACATAACACATAGTAGCTGCAAAATTGAATGTGTGTTCTTATTCATTGCTGTATGAGGCTACAAATGAGTTTGAGTCTTCTTATCTAACTGTTCATGTGTTGTTGTAATCTGGTGCTTACCTTCCTCTTCATCTGTCCTACATTGTCACAGGGGGGACCCATGCAAGGGATTTGGTAAATTACATTGGAAGTATCTCCAACCTCCAAGCAATCTTTACCCATACTGGCTGAAATTATCTGGAGAGAAAAAGGGAAGCCATGTAGGACCGTGTCCCCCAGTGGTGGGATTCAATTTTTTTTACTACCAGTTCTGTGGGCATGGTGTGGGTTGGTGGGTGTGGCTTGGTGAACATGGCAAGGGAAGGATACTACAAAATCCCATTCCCCCCCCACACACCCCAGTGACCTGCTTTCCAGCTCCGTTCTCCTGTGCAGGGCAACAAAAGCAGACCCAGCTGATCAGCTAGGACTCGGGAGGCAGAGAATAGATGGGGTGGGGCCAGTCAGAGGTGGTATTTGCCGGTTCTCTGAACTACTCAAAATTTCTGCTACCAGTTCTCCAGAACTGGTCAGAACCTGCTAATGCCACCTCTGGTGTCCCCCATCTTGCCCTACACACTGAGTCTATACTACCATGGCTGATTGTATTTTTCCCCCATCAGCTGACAGCAGACAAATTTCTCAGATACTAACCAGTTGTTAGGCAACACTTCTGCAGAGTTTAAATTAGCTTCATATCTTGAGTATCTGACCTTTCTATTTATTTATTGAATTTATTTGCTGGCAATCTCATAAAGAAACAACTTTTTAAGGGCTATAGCAGAAATGAGCTTCTAATTTCATCTGTTACCATGCAAGAATAAATAAAACAGTGCTTTCAAACAAATGCCTGAATTACTGATCACACTTACTATACAAGGCTACAATTGATTACTGTGCTAGCACCTTGTCCCTTAGTCCTCACTCTATCTGAACAAATTATGGCACAGGGCATATTAGAGTGCAGGTGCTTCCAAAACCTGGTGATACATGATTAGAATATAGTATTGCAGTCAAACTCTGTGCACAGCCTGGAGTTTGATCCTGACAGGACTCATGATTGACTAAGCCTTCTATCTTTCCAAGGTCAGTAAAATGAAGACCCAGATTGTTGGGAAAAATATGCTGACATTGTAAAATGCTATATAGGGCAGATTATAAGTCTAAATGTCAGGGTTTTGTGTAATGCATCCACCAAAAGCAGAACTCTGAGGCAGATAGATTCGTCAAAGAACATTTATTGGACACACCATATCGGCATAGCTAGTGAAAACCAACTCTAAAAGTTCCCGTGGTTTTCCCCCCTAATTAAAACAGCAAATATTCCCTCCCCAGGTGTCACCAATCACATTGTCCAATAAAGGTAGCTGGGAGGCTGCTTGGCCACTCCTCTGCCATCTGTCAGGATGACCTTGGTTTCCACAAGAAAACTTTTTGTTTTGACTGGTAGCCAGTCTATCTGCTTCCCCCTTTCAAAGTTCGTGGCCACTATGAGGCAGGAAAATCTTCTGACATTTTCTGACATTAGAAAGATATACTTCCACAGTGAGCAATTCCTGATGCCATTTTCAGAAAAGTATTCTTTATTTATTAAACAAATGTATATGGCCACCCAACTCATGCTCTGGTGACTCCAGGCAGCTTACAACATTAAAAATCCACAACATAAGAACCCATAACCCATCCCATCCCACCTCATGTCAGCACCAACTCAGTCAACTCAACCACTTATTTCGCCTAGAGAAGAAAGTGATAGAAGATTCTTTTTGATTCAAGGACTCCTTTCAAAAATTTTACTTCTACTTCTATACTTTGCAATCTTCTGGGGAAGTTCAGAAGCCTTGGTGCTTTTCTGCAGAAATAACCAAGCCAACAAAATTGCAAAGAATCCTCCAATTACCTAGGACTCTTCATCAGGAAGATAGAACTGATAGAACTGATAGAACTGGGAGAACTGATGGAGCAGGTCAGTTGCTATGACCAGAAGCACATTCCATGCATATCTTTCTCCAGATTGTATCCCAGGTTACTAGAGCCAGCCGGAGAGGCATGTTTTCTACAGCCTGCGAAAGTGCTCCATTGGAGAATGTAATTTATGACACACCCTGGGAAGAGGGAGGAAATAGGGTCATAGATGGGCAGTAAATTATATGGGGCAGAGCTGACTGCACTAGGGAAAGTGCCAACATGTTGCTCCTAATAAATAATTTGATTTCTTTTGAAACTTGACTCAAGGCTCATGAATTAATTAGGGTATCCATTGGAACCCTGACAAGTTAATTTATGCTGATCCAGATGCTGATTACTGGTGGATAGATGCTGAAGTCTTTTTCACTTTTGAACTGGTTGACAGCAAACATCACTCCTTACTAATGCTAATGATGTTACCTAGTTATGGTAATGAAATGTCTGCAAGAAAGCAAGCTCAACAGCACTAAGGGCCCCTCATTTCAATCCTTAGCTACAAATTTTCTCCTTCATTGGTAGTATATTGATTCTCTGTATCAGACACAACCAGGCAAAATATGTGACTGGTGGTTTTTCTTAAGAAGGGAAGAAGTTTAGCTTGAAACTCAGGGTGAGGCATCCTGATGAGTGGAACAATAATTACACAATTGTGATCCCTAAACTGATCAAAGTAAAATGTTACTTTGCCTTTGAAAAAAAAATCTCACTGTCTCCAGCTTAGTGTCGGCTTTGAGTTCCCTCATGGAGATGAAACGGATTGTCCTTCCTTCTTCCGGATTAATCCCAAGAAATTTCCTCAGTTTGTGGGTTTAGTTCAGCTGCTCCTGTATTTCCAGTGGAACTGGGTTAGGCTTCTGGCCTTTGAAGATGAGAGGGGAGAATGTTTCATCTCATCTCTGCTGCCAATGCTCAAGGAGAAGGAGATCTGCCTGGCCTTCCCTGAAATATTCAAATTTGGCATTCCTGTTATTAATGTGTTGGGATTACGTCTTGTTTTCAAGATTTTGCTTAAAGTTGAAGTGATTATTCTGCTTGGAGACTCCACTACTATTGCATTGGTAGTGCTCGCTCTGTGTAATTATGGACGATCCATATCATTTCAGAATGTTTGGATCATACCTTCCTATTGGGATCTAAGTGTGGTGGGAGCTCAAGATGTATTGCAATTTAGAAACTACTTCCACAGAGCTTTGCATTTTAGGGACCACACCAGGGATGTCTCAGAATTCAGCCATTTTCTCCTGTCTTTGAACCCTTTGAATGCAGAAGGAGATGACTTACTTCCACTATGGTGGGGAAAAAATCTTTGAATGCAAAATCCACAAACCGGGAGTTATCCCTCAAAAGTAGGGGAAACTATGTACAGGAAAGGAGAATTTGCAGAAGCTGCCCTCTTATATATTTGAAACAAGCATGACAGGTGAAAGTTACATTATCTACAATGCCGTTTATGCTGTGGCACATGCACTACATGCAATGCTTGAATCAGGAGCTCAACCAACCATGATGAAGCTTGGAAAGAGAATCTCAAATGTCCAGCCAAGGCAGGTAATCAATGGAAGTTGTTACTCAGACCACAGATCCTTAGAAAGAATGCTTCCCATATGCATTTCTTCAATTAAGAGTTGTAAACCTAATCCTGCACAGTTTTTTCTCCAGTAATATTGCACTGCTAACTAGAGCATACGAAACATTTGCTAGACCAATTCTCAAATACAGCTCATCTGTCTGGAACCCGCACTGCATATTAGACATTAATACAATTGAGAGAGTCCAGATATATATCATGAGAAGAGTCATCCACTCCTCGCAACAGAATACTTTATGTCACCAGACTTGAAATTTTAGGGTTAGACAACTTAGAACTATGCTGACTTCAGCCCGACCTAAGCATAGTACATAAAATTATTCATTGCAATGTCCTACCCATCAATGACCACTTCAGTTTCAACCACAACAGTACAAGAGCACACAATAGATACAAACTCAAGGTATACCATACCAAACTCAATTGCAGGAAATACGCCTTCAGCAACAGAGTTATCAATGCCTGGAATACTCTACCTGACTCTGTGGTTTCTTCCCAAAACCCCCAAAACTTTAATCTTAGACTGTCTACTGTTGTCCTCACCCAGTAGTGGGATTCAAAAAATGTTACTACCAGTTATGTGGGTGTGGCTTGGTGGGCATGGCAGGGGAAGGATTCTGTAAAATCTCCAGTCAGAGGTGGCATTTGCTGGTTCTCCGAACTACTCAAAATTTCTGCTACCGGTTCTCCAGAACTGGTCAGAACCTGCTGAATACCACCTCTGTCCTCACCCAATTCCTAAGAGGTCTTGAAGGGCCATGCATAAACGCACCAATGTACCTACCACCCCTGTCCTAATGTTCCCTTTTATTCTTACCCATTTTATACGTGCTCAACAAATAAAATAAACAAATAAAAAGCAATTACCAGTTAAATATCTGTATGCTACCATATCAATGAATCTAAAAGGATATTAATACAGCAATTATAAAAAATGAATTAAATATAACTTTTTGTTGAAAAGGAATGGAGGCAGGGAGAAAAACTGAACCAAACCAGATATCCATCAGATCCATTGAAGAAACACCTTCTATTAAGGTCTTGAAAAGTTTTCAACAGTTGCCCAAGGTTCAAAAGGTGACCATTACAGGTGGGATATGTCAGCCCAGAGCACACCTATCTAGATGTGTAAGAATTTGAAATCCTAGTTGAAATTCATGCAGAACCACACCAGTCTCCCTCAGTCTGAATCCTGAATTCAACCTCTAAATTGGCACTCAATTCATTTTAACCTTGGTTTATAGGACCATGGTGACTGGAGTGTTTGGAACACTGGGTAGGAGGTAAGCAAGCCCATGTTTGAGACCCAAAAGCTGCCACGGATGGGGTTGAGCTCTTGTCTTTCACTCCAGCTCTTGCCGGGGACATGAAAGGAGCCCCCAATTGGGCATCCCCATGGCAATCCTTTCAACCAGTTCAGCTTGCTTTGTGAATGTAGCCTCTGTGAACTTTAGAACATAGAACAGGATTCCAAATGATCATAACAGGTTTCTGGGCTGAAATTCATCAGGCTTCTGGCATCAATTACTAAATGTTGGACATTCCTGGGTAGTGAAGTGACAAACCAGGACAGATTCTTTTCATATGGCTGCATTTGTTTGGACCTGATTGGTCCATGCTGCTCCCCTTGAATGTCAGTTGGAAAAAGTCAGCAGAATTTTGCATTATTGTGATAGAAATTATTTATGTATTCCTAAAATGCATTTGTTATTTGCATGACCTTGGGCCAAAGAAAATATTTTAAAATGTACATAGATGTATTATGGGAGCAAAGCCACACAATGAAATTTGGTATGTGGCATTAAAATGTTTATATATTGGTATCATTTGGTAGAACTGGAGTTAAAGTAGCCATGATACAAATGCCCAATAATAAAGAAAAATATTTCTCATATTGAATAAGAGTTGATTTTTTGTTACTCTTGATTTCTCAGATCTCCACCAACAAAACTCTTTAGAAGCCAAATGTGATTGGACACACAAGGAATTTGTCTTTGATGCATATGCTCTCAGTTACATAAAGAAAAAACAAAATATATTCATCAAGAATCCTAAGATACAACTCTTAGTGATAGTCATAGGTTACTAATAATCAATCAAATTATACTAGGAAACAAATAAAACAATATAAATTGTAAAGAAACAAGCAACATGGTTATAGTCATAAGTGGGAAGAGATAGGTACTAGGAAGGGTGAGAAGAGTAATAGTAATACAGTCTTAGTAAATTATAATTTGATAATTTAATTCTTCTGGCTTCCCAAAGATGCATCCAACTTTTATCATAGAATAATAGAAGCTATAGTGTCTCATCTGTGGCTTTTTGATCATTACCCCAATGTCTGAAAATCTTTTTTCTTTCAGATCCTTGCCCATTTGAGGAATGTCCTGTTCAACAACAGTGTTGGAGATGAAGTCTCCTTCTCAGAAAATGGACTGGGACCTGCTCATTACGATCTTCTCAACTGGGTTTTCCACCCCAATCAATACTTTGCCCCCTTGAAAGTTGGGCAAATATATCCCGGGCCAGGATTTCCCCATTAACTCCAGTGCAATCATCTGGGCCTCAAAGGTAAGCTGGAAGGAAATCTTGTAATTCAAGGAAAAATTCACCTTGTCCTGAGGATGCCCAACATTCTTTGAACTGGAAAACAGGTCTACTGAATCAAGAAATGTGGCAGATATTTCATGAAAAAACTGGTTTCACTTAAATACTGTACATTTGAGGTCTCATTTGTGGCAGGTCCATTTATTTTAAATAAATATTTAAAATAAATTTATGTCTGTCGAGTGGCATGGTGGTCTAGAAGTGGTGCTCTCACATCACAATGAGGAAGTTGTGAGTTTGATTCTACATAGCAGCAGATACTTTCTATCCAGGTGCAATGAGTTATTGTCTCCTGTGAACACTATGTAGACAATCAGGAAGGGCATCCAGTCAGTAAATGCTCAGCTCCATTCAGTCAACCCAACTCCACCTGATGCAAGGGATTACAGGGTCCTTAAAAGAAAAAAAATGTCTGCCATCTCACTGATAAGGCAACTCTGAGCAGTATACAAGTGATAAAATGGTCAATATAAAACCTATTAGAATTAAAAGAGTTATGTATAACAATTAGAACCAAATGTATGGAGCATTGAGAGTAGGAAGAACTTCTGCTTGAAACCCAGGATGCTATTAGAGCAGGCCAAAGTGATTTCCATGGACCATTCATATTCAGTGAGATCCTCATTATTCTTTGTTTTAGAAATACTGCTGTCAAGATTGAAAAATGCTTAAACATCTTGTAACTATGATTGCTTTTCAACTTGGCAAAGAACTGGGGGGAGGGAAGGGTGAGATGGAATGTGGAGGCTACAATCTTCAACCGTGTGAGCCAAAGACACTTCTGCAGGTGTTGGCCAAGATGTCGACTGTTATCAAAACAAACAATGTGACCCATTCCATGGGAGGAGGGGATGAAATGCATTTTAAACTATGCAGGTTTGTGCAGGGAAATTTAGACTTGATTTTGCTTTCTTCAGTGCTGAAATGATGTACTCAATAAAGTTTGTCTTTTGGGATTTTAAAGTTCCTGAAGATGGAATGTGGAGGCTACAATCTTCAACCATGAAGATGGATGCTTTAATTGGGTGCATTAGTTGGATGGTTGACAGCTGTGGTTTAATGTCAAAAGCTTTCCTTTGCATGTCAAGGTCCAGAATGCAAATGAACTGAATCCTCCAAAAGTTGCTCCTGGTCTCTTATAACCTAGTTAACAATTTTTTTGAAAATATTGCAAAGATGGAAATAGGAACATTGAATTGAATAAATGAAGCATGTTCATCGTTTAGGCCACCCCAAGCATTTCTGTTTCCTCTTTTGGAAGGTGCCCTTTGCCAGGTGTGGCATGAAAAGGTGCCAGGCAGGAGAGAGGAGAAGCGTTCCAGAGGGCAAGCAGATTTGCTGCTACCAATGTGCCACTTGTCCAGAAGGCACCATTTCTAATCAGACAGGTAGAGCAAATCTAGGGAACCTCTTTCCATTGTAGATCTTCCTGGGACAAGGAAACTATGACGATCATGCCTGAGGAATCCCAGAGGACCTGGGATGGTTCCTTTACTGAGGCTAACCTTATGATCTTTTGTTTCATGTGGACTGCACTTCATAGACCAGGAAACATAGTTTGTTCCATCCAACCGGGTTATCAGTGATAGACATGTTGAAGTGACTTGTGCCATCTTTACCAGGATAGTAAACCACAATTAAACAGTAAACAGCTGTCAGTATACAGTACTGTGCATTCACATTAACTCTCAGTTATCTGAGCCTGGTATGGCCTGGGCCCATAACCAGTGTTGAGGTAATTCCCCGTTAGGAGTCCATGGGAAGAACACCAACAAAGATAAACCTCTTTCAAAGGAAACACTAAACTTTGACTCCAGCAATTCTGACTATGCAGTTACAAACTTATATACATAGCTCCCAGCTGCAGCCCATGAAGAGGATCAAGGCCCTCTCCTCCCCCATAGACCATGTCTCTCCCTTATCCTCTTCTTCCTGCATGCCCTAGGATGGAGAGGGGATGGGCCTGGGTCTTTCTCTGACTGCCCAGCCAGCCTCTGCCCTTCCCCAGCCTCCTCCACCACCTCTGGAGCCACACTCTGACTCCCTGTTGGCTGTTCCTCCTCTTCCTCAGAGTCAGTCTCCACCAGGGGCATGACAATGCCTTTTTATCGAACTATTGATAAAACAAATCCCATATCATATAAAATTGCTTGTATTCTTGTTCTCTAATTTCAAATGTCAGTTTACTCATTTCAGCACAGTCCATAATTTTTTTTTGATAGCTTCCTCCTGCATAGGTATTTTGTCATTTTTCCAGTTCTTCGCAAATACAATTCTATGGAATCTAACCAAGGAGATAAGCAACCTAAGACTAAGGAGGAATTTTGTAACAGCGAATATGATTAACCAGTGGAACAGCTTGCCTTCAGAAGTTGGGGGTGTTCCATCACTGGAGGCTTTTAATGGACAGCCATTTGCCTGAAATTATATTGGGTTCAAGCAGGGAATTGGACAGGAAGTACCTCAACCCACCAAAAACATAACTGTAAAAGACAGACCAGAAATAAAAGTAAATATAAGTTTAAAAAAAGTAAGAGAACACCTGTTTGATCTTGATGAAAACAAATCACTGGGGCCTGATGGATTACATCCCAGAGTTTTAAAGGAGTTGGCAGAGGTCATCTCAGAACCACTGCACCATATCTTTCAAAAATCCTGGAGCACCAGGGAACTACCAGAGGACTGGAAAAGAGCTGATGTGTTTCCCATCTTCAAAAAAGGGGAAAAAAACAGACCCAGGAAACTATAGACCAATCAGCCTAACATCAATACCTGGGAAGATACTGGAAAAGATAATAAAAAAACAGATCTGCCAACATCTAGAAACAAATAAAGTAATAACTAGCAGTCAGCACAGGTTTGTTAAGAACAGATCATGCCAAACCAATCTTATTTCATTCTTCAACACAGTGACTAAATTAGTAGACCAGCAAAATACTGTGGACATAATATATTTAGATTTCAGCAAGGCATTCGACAAAGTAGACCACAACCTACTTCATAGTAAGCTAGAAAAAAGTGGAATAGACAGCACCACCACTAGATGGACTCGCAACTGGGTGGCAACTGTACTCAATGAGTAGTCCTTAATGGGTCTAAGTCTACATGGAGGGAAGTAAGGAGTTGGGTGCCACAAGATTCCGTCTTAGGCCCAGTACTCTTCAATATCTTCATTAATGACTTAGATAAGGGAATAGAAGGGGAACTTTCCAAATTTGCAGATGATACTAAGCTGGCAGGAATAGCTAACACCCAAGAAGATAGGCTCAAGATCCAGGTGGATCTTGACAGACTAGAACACTGGGCCGTATTTAACAAAATGAAATTCTATGTAGAGAAAAGTAAAGTCCTACACTTAGGCAAGAAAAAACAAAAGTACACATACAGACTGGGTGAAACCAGGCTCAATAGCAGTATGTGAGAGGGATCTTGGAATCCTAGTGGACAACCAGCTAAATAGGAGCCAGACGTGTGCAGCAGCAGCCAAAAAAGCTAACGCAGTCCTAAGTTGTATCAACAGAGGGATACAATCAAGATCAAGGGAAGTACTAATACCACTCTATAAAGCCTTAGTACCACCACACCTAGAGTACTGCATCCAGTTTTGGTCACCACATTATAAAAAAGATGTTGAGACTCTAGAAAAAGTACAGAGAAGAGCAACCAGGATGATTAAGGGACTGGAGGTTAAAACATACAACGAACAGTTGCAGGAACTGCGCTTGGCTAGTCTAGTAAAAAGAAGGATCAGGGGAGACATGATAGAGATCTTGCAATATTTGAGAAGCTGCCACAGAGAGGAAGGAGTCAAGCTATTTTCTAAAGTGCCTGTAGGCCAGACAAGGAATAATGGATGGAAACTGAACAAGGAGAGATTTAACCTGGAAATAAGGAGAAACTTTCTGACAGAGAAAACAATCAACCAATGGAACAGAAGTTGCCCTCAGAAGTTGTGGAAGCACCATTACTTGAGACTTTCAAGAAGAGATTGGACTGCCATTTGTCAGAAATGGTGTAGGGTCTCCCGCTTGGGTGGGGGGGTTGGACTAGATGACCTACAAGGTCCCTTCCAACTCTGATTATCTGTAACCTCAGTAACCTTCCAACTCTGTTATTCTATGTTCTAATTTTAAGATCCACGGGAGAAATTAGTTTCTCATTTAATATGAAATGGTAAAGGTTCCCCTCACATATATTTGCTCGTTGTCTCCGGCTCTAGAGGGGAAGTGCTCATCTCCATTACAAAGCCGAAGAGCTGGTGCTGTCCGAAGTCATCTCTGTAGTCAAGTGGCCGGCATGACTAAATGCCAAAGGCACACAGAACGCAGTTACCTTCCCACCAAAGTAGTCCCTATTTTTCTACTTGCACTTTTTACATGCTTTCGAACTGCCAGGTTGGCAGAAGAAGCTGGGACAAGTAATGGGAGCTCACTCCATTACGCAGCGCTAGGGATTTGAACCACCAAACTGCCGACCTTTCTGATCAACAAGCTCAGCGTCTTAGCCACTGAGCCACCATGTCCCTTTAATTTAATACACTGTTATATAAATAAACCAGTTACTCCATCAAAACAATGGTATGGTTGCTCATATCTGCTAGGGTACAACTGTTGACCATGTGCTACCATGCCATATTAGCACATTTTCTATCTGAACAAACTATGACACAAGTGCTCAGTTTCATCACACACCCAGCTTCACCTTGACTCTTGCGTCCAGATGCTCTGTGAATTAGCAACAAGAGATATAAACATGTTTTTCCCCTTCTAGTGTTGACAATATGTCAGAACATTGTTAATGTATCCCTGTAGATTTCTACCCTCACAAATCTTTCAAGATAAAACCTGTTATAAAACATACGCTCCTAGTTCTCCAAGTGGGGCAGAACATGTCTGTCACTTT